ATTCTGGGAGTTGAAGTCCACGAGTCCTAAAAGAGCCAAGGTTGCCTACCCCTGACCTAGGGCAGGGGTCTACAAACTTGGCCCTGTTATGACTTGTGGACTTCAACGCCCAGAATTCCTCAGCCAGGCATGCACAAGTCATAAAAGGGCCAAGTTGGAAGACCCGGGAGTCCTAGGGGAGACTGGGCAGTGTCTAATTGAAAGGGGAAAAAACCTAAAGCCGTATCAAAGAACGAGGCCTCGATAAAACCCTCCACTCAGGGGCCCGTTCCGAAGGTCCCCCTCGCCTCTCCCTGGCCGCCCGCAGGCACGTCGGATCCCCTCATCAGCCACCCCGAGGCTCCCGCTGCCCGTCTTTCTCCCCCGGGCGAGAGCGGCAGGAGCGGTGCTGCCGTCCCTCCGGAGCGGTGCTGCCTTCCTCCTGCCTGCTTACCGCGCGGCATCGCTCCTTCTCCGCGGAACTGAAACCGTCGACTCTCCCGCAGACGACCAAGATCCCGGGGCACGACACGCATCGGGTTAAATAGGTGCCGCCCTCCCCTCCCAGTCCTGGCGATTCCGACGTTCAACGCCTCCCTCCTCCGTCGATTGGCTGCATCTCCGGTACCGCAATGAAGGCTCCTCCCCTTGGGCGTTTGGTGGGCGTCCCTTCCGTTGGACTCCAGCAGGGAGACCCGAGGCTTTCTCAGCTGCTAAGGAATAAAATTACACAACGAGCCTTTCTTTAAAATTCAAGTCTATACGATCTCGGAGGAATCGAACGCCATTTGCTACTTTAGAGGGGCAGTCACGGTAAAGGGGGGGAGGGGACCGTGGGGAGGGCGGGAGCGGCCCCCGAGCGGATCTTTTCTTGAGGGATGGTAACTTTGATTCGGTTTTAAGAGTTTTAAGATCACGTGACACGCCGCCCGCTGGCCCTTCCGCGACTGATACCTATTTGGGGTCTCTAAATGCCACAAAAGGAAATAAAAAGTAGATTTAAGCGGCGGGATCCACTCCCATCAAAAAAAAAAAAAAAAAAAATCCACCTGCGGAAGGAGCTGCCACTGGACTCACTGGGCGCGGCGCTCCGTGGGGCAGCTTTGCTCAAACTTCCCGGGGGGGGGGGAGAGTGTCGGCTGTCACAAATGTCTCGTGATCGTTTTTTGACGGATCGAGGGGGATTTTTGCTTGCTCGTCACTTCAATTTTCTCTGACAAGGGTAAGCAACTTTCAGTTTGGGAGCTATTTCGGCCTTGGACTGAGAAATGAGTCAGGATTCAGGTAAGCCTCCCTCCTTTCTGGGGGGATTCTTTGAAAATGTCACCCCTCCTTTTAACCAACTCCACATCTCCCATCCGGAGAACTCTGGAATGAAGGAGGAGTTCGTGAGTGAAAGCCCACTTTACCCACTGGAGGGGAGGGGATCTGCCCCAACTTCTCCACCCTCCTTGGGAATCCACCCTCCTTGGGTACCCTCCAGGACCCCCTGAAGCCCCAGCCTGGCATCCTCTCCTGATCCTCAGTTTTTGAGTTCCGGAGGAGCCAATGCTGGTGTTTGCCAATTCGCAGAAGATTTCCTAGTTAAAAGGTACAAAAGGGTGTAATCCAGGAACCGATTTGCTTTCTGATCCATTTCCGTTATGTATAAGGATATTCTCCTATCCAGAGATGGGACCTTTTTAAAACCAGTTGGTTCTCCCTGCCTCGAAGTGACTCATATTTGTTGTTTACAGGATTCAGAGACGCGGCATATTTTATTAGGCTCTTATACCATTTGTCTTCTTTTTAAGAAGAGACTGGACAGCCCTTTGTCCGAAATGGTATAGGGTTTCCTGCCTGAGCAGGGGGTTGGACTAGATGACCTCCAAGGTCCCTTCCAACTTTACTATTATTATTATTATTATTATTATTATTATTATTATTATTATTATTATTATTATTATTATTATTATTATTATTATTATTATTATTATTATTATTATTATATGGCCTAGTCCAGGGGTAGGCAACCTCGGCTCTTTTTTGCCTCATGGACTTCAACTCCCAGAATTCCTGAGTCCACGAGGCGTAAAAGAGCCGAAGCTGCCTACCCCTGTTTTAATCTCTTCTTAAAAACCTTTTCTCTTCCGGGGAAAACAGTCCGTGGAAGGAGCCGCCACCACGAATAGTGGGGCTGGGGCGCGCCTTTGGGGGGCTTGCAGAAGAGCCCAGCCAAATCCCGCACCGCCCGTAGAACTGGGGGCTGTTCAATGGAGGGGGCGGTCAACCAGTCGTCAATCCCCGTGGAAGCAAGAAGGAGGGGTCTGCTCGGTGGGACCCTTTTGTCCCAGGGGCCGGTGGATGCCTTTGGGCAACTCTCAGCCCATCGGGGAGACGGGAGAGGCCCATCTGGATGGAAGGAAAGCTTAGCCGTTCTCTGCCCCTTTACTTGCATGCCTTACTCCACCGTGCTCTAATGTTACCTAATTTGGATGACCAAACGTCTGCAAAAAAACAAAACAAAACAAAACTTAAGTTCGGAAAGCCACATTTCAACCCTGAGCTACAAATATTTTCCTTTATTGATGCTTTACTCTCTCTTTATTCTCTTCTGGGGGAAGAGCGCCATCTAGCGGGGCCCTCTATTAGCACCCTGGGGAATTAATTACACTTTCTTCACGTCTATGGAGATTCTCAACCATCCAGGTCAGGGGTAGTCAACCTTGGCTCTTTTATAACTCGTGGACTTCAACTCCCAGAATTCCTGAGACAGCCATGCTGAGGGGAAAAAGAGAGGTTTCCAAGCTGAGCCATGCTGGCTCAGGAATTCTGGGAGTTGAAGTCCACGAGTCATAAAAGAGCCATGGTTGCCTACCCCTGATCCAGGTCATGGCTGTCTCCAAAGGTGCTTTTTTTTTTTCTCTCAAAAGGCGACTGGACTTTCCTGTTTTTTTTTTCTTTTCTAACTGGAGAAGCAAAACATTTGCAAATTACAAAAAAAAAACACTAAAAGTCCAGTTGCCTTTTGGAAAAAAAAAAACACTTTTGGGATACTTTCTTCAGCCCGTAAGTAATGATTGATGCAAAATCTATGCCAGTGATGGAATTCTGATATATGGCTCAATGGTTAATCAGTGTAAAGTATCGTCATTGGTGGTGCAGAGGTCCTCCTGCTGTGCCACTGGCTGATGCTTTGAGGCCGGATATTGAAGCTGCTTGCATAGAGTATTTATAAGAGATTCTGGGCTACCCCCCTTAGAGAACGTCAACTGACAGTTGCATCAAAAACCACGTATCATGGTTCCGACAGATGAAACTCTTCAAAGAACTTCGAGGCATTGTTTGCCTTAAAGAAACTTTATTTTGAGTAGCATAGCATCGGCACTGGTATAGTCGAAGCCAAAAACTGGATTCCCCTCCCCTGAGCACATAGTATCAAAGCACAATTCCCTCCTCCAATTAAGTCATAAATCACATTCGCCAATTAGCTTGAAGCACGGGCTCCAGCCTGCCAATTCCTTATCAGCTCTGGTTACAATAACCTTGTTTCTCAGGCTAGGTCCAATGTTGTTATGTCTAGCTGGACTCTCCTTCACATCCCCCCTCCCAGCATCATCTAACTCTAAAAGCAAAAGGTAAAAGATGGCTACATTTCCATCTGTTGTCAATGCAAAAACATCCGATGTTAGCAACGTTGACACCACGTGTGAAGGGACCTATCACCAGTACTGGTGCTGGATGCGGGAAAGCTGCAGAAGAGCCCAGTGGCCCACAAGTCACACTGGCTAGGAGCCCAAGGCAGTTGGAACAGGTAGTCCTCCTGAATTAGTGTTAACTCGGGTCTTAAAATACAACAATTCACTCTTTAAACAATTCACTAAAAACAGGGCAAAAATGCTGAAAAGAACGGTGTAAACAATTTACCTAGTGGCGTCCCACAACTTAACCGTTGTGCCAACAGCTCACTTGGACCGAAGGGGTAACTGAAACGAACAGTCTTCCACCGTTTTCCCCTAGTGATGACCCCCCTGGATACTGCAATCGTCATAAATATGAGTCAGTTGCCAGGCATCTGAATTTTGATCATGTGACCATGGGGATTCTGCAAAGGTTGTGTGAAAAACGGTCATGTCACTTTTTCATTGCCGTTGTAACTAAGGAAGGTCACTAAACGAACTGTTTTAAGATGAGGACTACCTGTATAGAAAATCTGGAGGTAGCAACAGAAAAAAGAGAGATGGGGACGGCATCCTCAACACCTGTTTGAACCCCTCGCTGGTTAGGACGGGGCTTATGGTCACAGCATGGCCAGCGGGTGCCAGAAAATAGCTCCCACCATCACACCTCCCAAGGCTCACTGCAGCTGAATCTATCTGGTTTGGTGCTACACGATCTTCCAGAGATCCACACCCGCTCCCACTGACCATTCCATGCATTTTCAGAGAGGGACAGGGAGAAAGGGAGCAAAGGAGAGCAAGGGACATGGAGCACCTGGCCAGGACAGCTCAGGCAGCGAAAGAGACGCAGGGAAACTCCAGAGATTCAGCTCCAACCAGCTGCAGCCCTCATGATCTAGACTCGCAACGTCCCTCCTGGCCATTCAAGTTGAAAGTGGTTGGGCAACGGATCCCCTTCTTCCCTCACCCTGCCTCGCCCTCGGCGCCCCAAGTCTCCCTGCTAGCGCTGGATTCGCCTTCTGCACTCGGAGCAGCCCTGCAAGGCGGTGCAGAAGGGATACCTCCGGGGGCTCACCTCACCTCTTGCCTGCCCTGTGAAGTCCCCACTGGCAGAAGGAAGAACAGGTGGAGAAGCCGAGCAATGGAGTTTGGGGCGCCAAACTCCAGAAACAGGGGAGAGGAGGAACAATTCTGCCGGTCAAGTTAGGCAAGGATCGCCCTAAATCCAAGCAATTCTGGGCTTGATTCCCCCTTGTCCCAAACCTCCCTTGACCTGTAACGTAAGAGACTGCCTCCTCTTCCATTGACCCCACCTTTTTATCCCCACCCAATCTCTGCTCTTTTGGCTGCCCTGTCTCTTCTCTAGGGTCTCTTCCCTGTATGGATCCCTTCATGATAAGTAAGATACACTTTCCGAGTAAAGCTCTTTCCACATTCCCTACAGTTATGTGTTCTCTCCCCAGTGTGGATCCTTTTATGAGAATTAAGGTTTCCCTTCCGAAAAAAGTTCATTCCACATTCCAGGCATTTATATGGTCTCTCCCCAGTGTGGCTCCTTTCGTGAGAATTAAGACTTTCTTTTCGAGTAAAGCTCTTTCCACATTCCAAGCATTTATAGGGGTTATCCAGTGTGTGGATCCTTTGGTGGCGATTAAGAGTACTTCTGTCACTGAAGTTCTTTCCACACTCCAAGCATTTATGTGGTTTCTCCCCAGTGTGGATCCTTTGGTGGACGCTAACCTTACTCTTGCTATTGAAATTCTTTCCACACTCCAGGCATTTATATGGATTATCCACTGTGTGGATCCTTTGGTGGCGATTAAGTCTGCTTTTGTCACTGAAGTTCTTTCCACATTCCTGGCATCTACATGGTCTCTCTCCTGTGTGGATCTTTTCATGATAAGTAAGATGTCCTTTCTGGGTAAAGCTCTTTCCACATTCCAGGCATTTATACGGTCTCTCCCCAGTGTGATTCCTTTCGTGAAATTTAAGACTTTCTTTTCGAGTAAAGCTCTTTTCACACTTCAGGCATTTATATGGTTTGTCCCCAGTGTGTAATGTTTTATGAGCGTTAAGATGTCCTTTCTGAGTAAAGCTTTTTCCACACTCCAAGCATGTATGTGGTTTCTCCCCAGTGTGTATCCTTTGGTGCCGAGTAAGGCATGTTTTGCTAAAAAAACTCTTCCCACATTCCAGGCATTTGTATGGTCTCTTCCCTGTGTGGATCCTTTGATGAAAAATAAAGTTTCTGTTGTAAACAAAGCTCTTTCCACACTCTGTGCATTTATATGGTCTGTCTCCTGTGTGGGCCTTTTTATGAGAATTAAGATCTCCTTTCTGAGTAAAGCTCTTCCCACACTCCAGGCATTTATAAGGTCTATCACCTATGTGGATCCTCTTATGGTAATTAAGATATCCTTTCCGAGTAAAGCTTTTTCCGCACTGTAGACATTTATGTGGTCTCTCCCCAGTGGGGATTCTCTGATGGAGATTAAGTTTACTCTTGCTACCAATATTCTTTCCACACTTCAATCTCAGTATCATCTCTCTGCTCCGACTGGAACCCCTGCCAGATTTTATAGAGGTCTGTGGTTTGTGTTTCTTATAGACTTTCTTAGGTAAAGTAGGGGCAAAGGAATTTTTGATATATTTTCCATGCTGTTGAGATTCATAGAGTTTTCCTTTAGTCTGGTTTCTGTCATAGTCATATGTATCAAATGGATTTTTCTCTTTTTCCCCATCTTGTCCCTTTGTCTTTACTTTCTCAACTTGCTGGGACAGGAAGCCATGGATTCCAATAGGAAGCAAAGTGGATGACCTCACCCTTCCTTCTGTGTGGTTTCTCTCTTGCCTTTTTATGTCCCCTTGACAGCCAAACAGTACTTCCTGTATATCATGCGTCTCTGTTTCAAGTGGCTTCAACCTAGCTTTCTTGTCATTCACTTTCTCCTGCCCATCATCGTCTTGGAAAAAAGAAAATAAATATTTGGGTTAGAATATAGAATGGCAAATGATATATTGTCTTCCCTCACTAACAAACATGCCAATTTGCATTCCAGATTTGGCACCACCCACATTTGGCTAGGATGTGATAGCTGCAAATTGTTATTTAGGAGACTCTGATGGTATACAAATAATTTTTCAACTGAGAAACATATTAAAGCTTTGATGTTGGTCAGTCTGCCCAATCCTTTCCATGAAGCATCTAAACATTTCCCAAATCGATGCTGAGTATTTCTGCACTGCCTTGTAAAGATGCAACTAAGTGCAAACAACTTCCCTGTTCTCTTTCCACTGAAAAAATGAAGGGAACCCAGAGCAAAGCTTGGCCTTACCCAGAGCATCCATATCCGTAGAAATCTCCTCGATGACTTCCCTACATAAGGCCTTCTGGCCAGAATCCAGCAGACTCCACTCCTCCTCTGTGAAGTTCACAGCCACCTCCTCAAAGGGACTGGATCCCTAGAAAGAGAAATAAAACTTTCTTTAGCAGGCAATACCAGGAAAGACCTCTAAGTTTTCTCTCTTATTACAGAAAACAGGTTTGCAATAGACCAATGGGCATTTTCTAGCAGGACAGATTTATGTCTGCATGTCAACAGAGTCCTTAGGGCTGGGAAGCTGTAGCTGCACAAATCATGGCTTAGGTGCATCCAGGTTGTAGAATGCTAAAACAGACACCATTGGGGAGCTTTCCACTGGACCAAAATAACCCAGCAACGAGGTTTCGGGGAGAAGAATCCCCTAGGCTCACATGCCTCGCTGACCAAGTTCTTGAGAAAACAGGACAATGACAATGAGCCTGGAAATCCCAAGTCACTTGACCAACAATCTTATTATTGCAGAAACTTAGCACTGATTTAGGGGTCTCTCCTTTCTGTAATGCATTTTTATATATGCTTTTTTTAATCCTATTCCTGTTGTTTGAAATCATGGCTTTCATTTTTGAACTAGTTTTCAACGGTCTTCAAAAAGCTTTAACATGTATTATTGTTGCAGCCACTTAGTGTTGAATTAGGGTTTGTTCTTCAGATGAAAATTTTTTAAGTGGATATGCTAACATATTTTTGAACATTTCTCAATCCTATTCCCATTGTTTTAATTTGGTGATTTCATTTCTAACTAGATTTCAGCACTCTTCTGAAAAGTATTAAGAAGTATTAAACTCTATCAACATATAAATTAAATTTTCTAACACATTTTTCTCAGCATTTGCATCTCCAGAACAATTTTGAAAGCCGAATGTGTGACTCAGCAGGACCTTCTTGGGGGATACTGTGTTCAGATGCACACAGACTCAGCATTTGGTGGTAAAGGTAGCTTGTGAATGGACGGAGCTGGAACTCTACTGCTCTTGGAAGAAACCTGCACTTACCTGGCAAAGTGGCCCAAGTTGAATCCTTCTGAAAAGCAGTTCCTGAGAAAGGCTGGATGGATCTCCTCTTCCTTGGAGCTCCGCTGAGATCTTCCTCGTGATTGGTTCCTGTACCTGTCAGAACAGCCTGGTTTATGATCCACTTCAGAAAGACCATAACTATGTTAATTCACTTACCTTTCCTTTTACTTCTCTACCCGTACTTCCCCAATCCGTCAAAATGAGAGAACTCAGAAACTCTGCTCTGAACTGGCTAATGTTTTGGGGTAAATGAACAGATGGGCTCTGTACTAGAGGCAGTTCACATAATACAAATGTTTATCCTTATTTAGCTAGAACAGTGGTGGCGAACCTATGGCACAGGTGCCGGAGGCGGCACTCAGACCCCTGTCTGTGGGCACACGCGCCCTCACCCCAGTCCTAGGCCTTCAGCTTCAGTCCTCCCGCAGGACTCAGGCCGCCCTGAGTCCTGCGGGAGAAGGGCGGTATATAAATTAAATTATAATAATTATAATAATAATATAAAACTTTTTCGCTTTAGGCCTCCGCTGCCTTGTGCAAAAAAAAAAAAAAAGGTTCAATCAATCAGTCAATTTCAACTTCTCGCGGGGGAAAAAAAAAGATCTTCCAAATTTTGAATTGATTGATTGAACTTTTTAGTCCCACCCAGTCTGCCATTACCACCACAGCCATGCCCACCCAATGGGCCATGCCCACCCGGCACCCAAAGATGCATAAATGGATTTTGGGTTGCAGTTTGAGCACTCGGTCTCTAAAAGGTTCGCTACCACTGGGCTAGAAGACCAGAATGTAACTATTGAAGTACACCACATGTGGATAACATTAGGGAGGTGTGTAAGAAAAGAGAAATCTCTTTAATAGTTGAGCAAACCCTTTCAGAGGAAAGGGTGTGGGTATTTGCATTACTCCTTTTATCTTTCTCTTATCTTCTCCTTCAAACACTAATGATAATTACAGGTAATCTGTGTATCTAATCTGCAAAATGGGTTTCCTCCAGGCTCTCTCCTACCATGTGCTGGAAGGGAGCCTAGTGATCACTGTATTCTCTCTGCAGCTTAGTTTTTTTTTCCTATTGCAAACATTTTTTCATACAGGACTATGCTATTTACAAGGGGTGCTCTGCTTAGAATAAAAAACAGAAGACGTCTGATAACTATTACCTAATTAGGAGCAGCTGTTCACGGCATCCTTTAAAAAGCCCCTTCTCCAAAAACCTGTATTGCACCCTAGCTTTCTGCAAAATGTTTGCTCAATTCTTTTCTTTGCAGTATTGAGATCTATTACTAGAAAAAAGAGAGGCTGGACAAGGAATTGTGGCCACTTCCTCAAATTCAGCGGCCTCTTACATCCCTCAGGCGCATGGGTGGATGAAATAGGATTGATTTTTTCTTTTCTCCCACAGAATTATCTCCCAGGGGACACAGAAGCATTTGCCTCAAAAAGAAATCAGTTCTCCAAACATGAGGAATTCCTGAAAGGCTGCCCAGACGTGTTCTTAATCTCTTTGACTTCTTGCAGACATGGCTAGATCTCTGATCCTTCCCCCCCCCCATGGAGCTCCCAGGATGAAGCCCCCCCGCCCTCCTCACCTGTCCCTTTCCCGGCTCTTCCCGCTGGGCTTGGCTGAGGAGGAAGCCTTCGGCCAGGGCCACCGCCTGCGAACAGCTCTCGGCTCCGCACTCCCTCACCCAGCTCGCCATCTCCGCGGGCAGCAGGGCCAGCAGCTGCTCCAGCTGGTGGTCCAGGTCGTAGAGGGGAAACGACGAGGAGAGGCCGGCGTCGGTGACCGCCGACAGGCGGTGCAGGCGGCTGCAAAGCTCCCGGGGCCCCTCGGCCTCCTGGCGGCAGCCGTCCAGACCGCGGAAGCGCCGCCGGTGGATCTCTGGGCTGAGGGCGGCCTCGGGTAGACCTTCCGGGCGGCTTCTGCCCCCGGGGCCCCCTCCGCTCCCCTCCTGAAGGGCGGCGGGGACTTCGGCTGCTCCCATCCGCGGAGACCTCTCGGTCTCCATGGGGTTTTGTGAGGAAACAAGCCCAAGAGACAAGCCGAGTTGCCTCCCTCAAATCACCCCCCCCCCTCTTTCCCGCTTCCCAGGAGGGGAGAAACGGGGCTCGGGGGCCTCTTCGGGGCTGCGGCGCCTGAGGGGAGCAGCTGCGAACGGCTCCCGCGCTAATTTCCCGCGCGCGCTCCTGAGCCTTGGCACCTCGCCAAGGAGCCCAGACGATAGAGAGCGGCCGGCTAGACCGCCCTTTCCTTTTCCCGCCAGCCGAGGGAGCTCGGATGCTGAAAGGCGCGCGGCAGAAGCCGAGGCTGCGGCGGCGGCGGCGATGCGTGCAAAGTGCGGGGAAGGTCCCGTGGCCTTGCAGGAAAATTAGGGGAGCCTCCGCTAGGTGATGGGGACTTTCTTCGTCTCTGAGTCCGGTGCGGGGTGAATAGATGCGAGGCTAAACATCGGAAGGCGTCCGCTGCACGTTTCCTTTTAAAAAAAACACAAAAAGGTGCTTCGTGAGTGCCTCTTCCTTCGTCAGATGCATTAGAGCAGTGGTTCTCAACCTTTTTAATGCCGCGACCCCAACCGGTCATAAGTCGAGGACTAAACCGGTCGTAAGTCGAGGACTAAACCAGTCGTAAGTCGAGGACTAAACCGGTCGTAAGTCGAGGACTACCCAGCCGGTCGTAAGTCAAGGACTTTCCCTGCCCGGGAGCGCCACGCATGCGTGGTTCCGCCCCCTGCGCCGGCCGAGGCGTAGCTGGCAAGCGGCAGAGACGGAGCAGGCCGACCACCAGCTGGCCCAGCCCAAGGGAGGTAAGGCACCCGCCGGAAAAGGGGGAAAAAAATGGCGGCAAAAAAAAATGACGGAGAAAAAAAATGGCGGACAGCCTTGCTTGGCGACCCCCGTGAAATGGTCGATCGACGCCAAATGGGGTCCCGACCCACAGGTTGAGAACCACTGCATTAGAGCGACTAGATTTACAGTGTTTCTCAACCTTGGCAATTTTAAGGCATGTGGACTTCAACTCCCAGAATTCCACAGCCAGCAATGCTGGCTGTGGAATTCTGGGAGTTGAAGTCCACATGCCTTAAAATTGTCAAGGTTGAGAAACACTGGGCTAGAATAATGCAAGATTTAAATCTGGGAGGGGGATCGGAAGGGAAGGTGGGTTGGGTTGGGGGCTGCAAACGAGGGAAAGCCAAAGCTTCGCCCTCTTTCTCGCCTTTGAAGTTCTCCGGAGTGGCTGGATCCGAAGCAGGTGCCTCTTTCCTCTCCCCTTTCTGGACACCAGGCTTCCCCTCCATGCGTAAAGATTTCCGCCTCTCTCGCTGCTTTTCCTGCTTAAAATATCCTCCCGGTGGGGGTTCATTGTCGGATTGCAAGAGCAAAAGTGAGGGTAGATAGCTGAGGGTCTCCGTTTAAGGGAGCTGACCCCTGATCCCTAATTTTTTTCATGTCTCTATTTAGGTCTCTAAGAGCCAACATTGATTTGGTGGCACGTAATTTAAATACTGGCTCATCAAGATAGAGAACCAGGAACAAGCAAAAAAAAGTATCTCTAATGCCAAATGATAACTAGATTTCTCAATTTGTATGTTTTGTATGTTTGCAATTTGTATGTTTTATACTGAAACAATTTGTATGTTTTATACTGAAATTTTATTAGGTTTTGAATTTACAGTATAAAAGTATCTACCGTTTATTATTTAACATCCAAAACTCTTTGAAAATCAGATCATTGTTTTCAGTTTATGTCCTCTGATAAAAGACAAGAAGTGAATCAGAACAAAAGTAGTAAGGTTGGTTCTTAAACCCTCCTCCAAATTTAAACATTTGCTGTAGGAGGCTTTTATGTTTCTGATCAAGCGTCACAAGTAGTTTGTAAATAGGGAAAAAGAACTGTTTACTTCCAATCCCAGCTTAACTTTGGCTGTTCCAATGGAGTTTGGGTGAGGAATTGCTGTGAAAATAACAGCCCACTGCTAAATTATGCATTTGTAGTTTGATTATTCCTCTGGCCCAATTTTTTACTTTTTTTGTTATTTTAGAGGTATTGTTTTTAATTATCTTATTGGAGAATGGTTTGTGAGTAGTGTTTATGCATACGTTCCTGAAGCAAGCTGTCTGGAGTTGGGAAGGGTCTGGTGATCTAAAAATAAAGGTCTAAAAAAGTGATAAACATGGGAATACATGGCAGCAATAATACTGCGTGGATTTTTGTTCCTCTGTTTAAATTGTGCTTCACCAACTCTAGAGTTCTAGGCCTTTTATCCAGCCGTGATGCTCATGGTGTGATCAACTCCCAACATTATGTGTTGGCTAAGATGTTACGTCACAAGCCTGGAATTGCTTGGGGGCTTGGGTCGACCGGCAGAATTGTGGTTCATTGTCTGCCCTGTCTCTGCCAAATGCTTTAGGTCAGGAGACCACCATGGACCTGGTTCCACGGTGAGGCTTTCTCCACCAGCACTTCCTTCATCAGCAGGGACGTGTCAGGGTCGGCAAGAGCAAGTGGAGCCCCGCAGGTGTCCATCCTCCTCCACCTTGCAGGGCTGCTCCAAACATAGAAGGTGAGACCGATGGCAACAGGAATACATGAGATGCAGAGGGCAAGGCACGGAAAAGAGGGTCCGTTGCCCAGCCGCTTTCATCTTGAACAGCCAGGAGGGACGGGCTGCAGCTGTTTGTAGCTGAACCTCTGGAGTTTCCCAGCATCCCTTTCGCTACCTGAGCTGTCCTGGCCAGGTGCTCCCTGTTTTTCGTAGCCCTTCTTACTCTCCTTTGCTCCCCTTCCCGACCGCCATTCTGCCCTTGCCCTGGAAATCCTCAGCCTTGGTTCCCCCTCCCACCTTCATTAATACAAATACATCATGGATTAGTCATTAGGTCATATCAGAATACCAAATATAAAATGCAAAATAATAAAACTGAGACTCTAGAAAGAGTACAGAGAAGAGCAACAAAGATGATTAGGGGACTGGAGGCTAAAACATATAAGGAACGGTTGCTGGAATTGGGTATGTCTAGTTTAATGAAGAGAAGGACGAGGGGGGACATGATAGCAGTGTTCCAGTATCTCAGGGGCTGCCACAAAGAGGGAGTCAAGCTATTCTCCAAAGCACCTGAAGGCAGAAGAAGCAACGGATGGAAACTAATCAAGGAGAGAAGCAACCTAGAACTAAGGAGAAACTTCCTGATAGTAAGAACAATTAACCAGTGGAACAACCTGCCTCTAGAAGCTGTGAATGCTCCAACACTGGAAGTTTTAAAGAAGAGACTGGACAGCCATTTGTCTGAAATGGTATAGGGTTTCCTGCCTGAGCAGGGGGTTGGACTAGATGACATCCAAGGTCCCTTCCAACTTTATTATTATTATTATTATTATTATTATTATTATTATTATTATTAAAATCATGTGTAACAAAGCAGAATTTAAAAGGCATAACTAAAGGCAAATGTCACTCAGGATTCTGAGTGAACCTTATAAGGTGCTCCAATTAGATCCACATACACAGTTCCCAATTCTTTTGTTCGGATAAAGGCTCGGCTGCTCCTTGGTTGAGTATAGACAGATACCCATTTGGAGTCAAAGGGTTGGGGTCTTCCCCCTTGATCTGGAATCCTGACTGGAGGAGTCATTTGTCAGTCCTTTGGTACAGGCTAGTCAAGAAGCGTTGAGAATTAACACTAGCTTTATCTGTATTGTGAGGCCACAATACAAAAATCTTACGTCTTTTAGAAGTATTTCTCCTCCCACCTCTCCTTTCACTCTCTGGAAAACTAGGAGACTTTCTTCTGAAATTTTTCCAATGCCCCCCACCCTCCCAGTGGGGGCGTTTACATGACATTTACATTCTGCGGTTCTTCCCTGTCTCCAAGGTCATTACTCCATTCCAACACATATTCTTTAGCTGTCTTTTCACAGTGACAGTTTGTAAAGAGAAACGGAGGCATTAAGACTTCAAAATAAGGTTTATTGTATTGTCAATGAATATGAGTAGTTTGAATAATATTAGCTGAAATGGAAAAAGGGCCTCAATTCCTGCAGTAGAGGAAAGAAGAAAAGGAGGGTAGAAAATAACAGAGTTGGAAGGGACCAACTCAATATCCACAGCATTTTGCTGGTCCACTAGTTTTGTCACTTTGTCAAAGGGTGCAGTAAGATTTGCCTTATCTGTTTTTGACAACTCCATGTTGGCTTGTTATAACTTTGTTTCCTTCTAGGTGTTCACAGATTCGTTACTTAATTTTTCCAGAGTCTTTCCAGGTATTGATGACAGGCTAATAGGTCTGTAGTTTCCCGGTTCCATTTTATTTTCTCCTTTTTTGAAGATGGGAACTACACCAGCCCTTTTCTAGTCATCTGGTAGTTCCCTAGTGCTCCTTGATATAGTTCAGAGGTTCTGAGATTTCATCTGCCAAGTCTTTCAGAACCTTCTGGTGGTTTGAACTCATCTAGAGTAGATAGGTGTTCTCTTACCATTTTCTTGCTTATTTTGACTTGCATTCCTAATCTGCATTTTACAGTTGTTGTTTTTTTATAGGTTGGTCTGTTTTTTTTTCTTCTTTTGTGTAAAGACAGATGCAGAGAAGGAATCCTGGACGTTCCCTCCAAATCTGGAGCCTCTTACATCCCTCAGCAGGATGAAAGGAATAGAATAGAATAGAAAATAGAATAGAATAAGACCTTGAAGTTCTTCTAGTCCAGCCCCCTGCTCAAGCAGGAGAACCTATACCATTTCAGACAAGTGACTGTCTAGTCTCTTGTTAAAAATCTCCAGGGATGGAGCACCCACGATTTCTGAAGGCAAGCTGTTCCACTGTTAATTGTCCTCACAGTTAGGAAGTTTCTCCTTAATTCCAGGTTTCTTCGCTCTTTGATCAGTTTCCATCCATTGTTTCTTGTCCCGCCTCTGGTGCTTTGGAGAATAATTTGACCCCCTCTTCTTTGTGGCAACGCCCGAAATACTGGAATACTGCTATCATGTCGCCCCTGTTTCTTCTTTTCTTTAGACTA